CTAACTACAGCAGCTTGCCCGTTTTCTTACAAACTTTTGGATGAAATGTCAATGTTTGATCATTATGTTCTTTTTCTTCTTCTTCAACATACTGAGCCTTAGAAGTTATCAACTGCCTCTGTTAATTTATGTGATTGGCCTTCTCTTTCTAGCTGGTGACTCAAAGTGTTTGTAGGTCTGTCTGTATTATCTCTCCACTGTCTTCTCGCCCTGTCCTCTGGTCTACTCCCATTCATCTCCTTTGTGAATGCAGTTTTTTTTTGGGGTATCTCTGTTATCTGCCATTCTCTCCTATTTGCCCAAACCATTACAGTATATTAACCCTAGTGATGTCAGACCCAGATTACATTCTTAGACATCAACTGACATTTGCATTAAAAAAATACATATCCATGTTCAGCGATTACCACCCTGTATTCCAAAAATGACTGACCTTTATAAGAAAACTGTACATATCCAAGGTTTACATGAAAAATGTAAATTTCAAAAAGTTTACATGAAAATGTGCCTATCCAAAATGGCACATTAAATATAATAATACAGATGCTAGTGTGTACAACATTTAGAAATCAAAGTCTGTACATCAAGAACAGTCACTAATAAAACAAAAACACAAAAAAGGCCTTGTCCCTATTCTCCCCAAGGACTGTTGTTCTTAGGATTAACACTTCAAGGATGAGAATGAAACTGCAGCAAGTCTGACAAACCCTGTTCAATCACATAACAGTTATATTAGAGCATCCCTATGTAGTCTGGAGGGGGGGGGGGGGGGGGTGTGTGTGGGTGTGTGTTTGTGTGGGTGTGTGTGGGTGGGTGTGTGTGGGTGGGTGTGTGTGTGTGTGGGTGTGTGTGTGGGTGGGTGTGTGTGTGGGGGGGGGGAGAACTGTTTTAACTATACTGGTTTAGGATAAGTCTAAATAAATAACTCTATTGTAGATACTGACAATGAGGTGTCAAACAACTCAATTTGCATATACTGTAAAAGGTTATAGTTTTTAAATTGCTGAGTGGTCTTTTACTTTTACTAATTCAGATTACAATTTTAAGAATACAAAAAATTATATCTAATCCTGGCTTCAAACATGTTAATATAGTCAAATACCCACATAAATCAGATATCTGGATATTCAATCAACTGGCTTACACAAGTAAAATGGCTGTAAGAACATGATCAGAAAAATCTGGCCACTGAAAACAGGGATCAGACAATTTTCACTATTTTCTGGTCATTGCTTGGAAAAGAGAATATTTTCTGGAAATTGCCAGAGAAGAAAAGACAATTTTTAGGAAACTGCCTGGAATTTTTTTTTTCAATTTTTGGAGTGTGAATCCTGGAAGAAATAACATTTTTTTTTAAGAAATTGCCTGTAAAGAAAGGAAAAAAAAAAAAAAAAAAAAATTATGTGAACTGAATTGAAGGAAAAATAACTTTATGTGAACTGCCTGGAAATAAAAAAAATAATTTTCTGTGAATTGCCTGGGAAGATAAGAATACGTTCAGGGAATTGCGCAGGAAGTAAAGTACTATTTATATGCCTGGGCATATGATGCTACACTCAAATTTCTAGAAAGCAACTGGCACTCAATGGGTAATGTGGTCAACATCAAATCAGCTGCCTTTACTTCCCAGGACACTACCTGGTGCTCACTGTATGCCCTGCTGACCTGGGAGCCAAGGCCAATCTGGATGCCTTATTGAAGTCTAGGCATTCAAGCAGGTAGGTGAGTGTGTAGCCACTACACTAGCACAGTTCTCAACTGTTTGGGAACAAAAGACATAATTCTGAAAATCACATGGTGAAAGAAAGACTCCTCTTCTTCATCTTCTATCAACTTTGACAGAAAGTCTGGTTGTTCACCCACTTCTGGACTTTTAGACTTCTTCCAGAACCTGATTTTGTATGCACATTCATTTTACATCAGGTACTGTGGCTTAGGCATTGTGCATGCGCTGTTATGTCGGGGTGCCGGGTTCGATCCCAGCCATACGCCTTGCGCTAGCTTTGGCAGTGGTATCGAGAAGCCGACCGCCCAGAAAGTAACGGCAAACTTGCCTAGAAAAACCACAACAGCCACACAAAAAAGATGCTGGGGTTGTTGTGCAATGTCCTGTAAAGGATCCACAACTAACTTTATCCATTTAAAACATCTGGCTTGTCTTATGTTGGTGACTCACCTCTCAGGAAAAGACACTCAGACTTTCAAGGAAACACCTGGAATAAGTCGACTTTAATGACACACCTGTTGGGGAAAGGGGCAGTGGGTCAACCACCCTGCCCTTTCTCCCCACAATGGGGCACCAGAACCACAGGGGGGGGGGGGGGGATGGAAGACAATGGTCTGGGAAGGTGATGAGGAAGGAAATGAGCCTGGCCTTGTCGTATGTGTCAGCCTAACACTTCACGTCTGCCACTCTGGCTTAGACGCCTGTGAAATGGTGTCATAATGCAATCCTTGACCACGGTCTGATTCAAACGCTGGGCAGTTGAGAAAAAAACAGTTCTCATTGGGTTTTTTCTGTTTCATGTTTTTTCCTCTCCAAATGTGCATTCTGCAAAATTAACATCTCAAGGAAGAGAATCACACAGCAGCAAATCCTGCAAACCCCTTTGGACTGTGCAGCCATACAGGAGAGTTATGCTGAGGCACCACAAAATGGTTAAGACGTCAGCGCTGTAGTCCCCTGTGTATGTAGGTGTACGTTAGCCATGGCTATCAGACAGTGGTACCAGTCCCATTGTGGAAGAGACTATGGTTTCAATACATAATATTTGCATACTTAGCAGTGGATATAGTGCAGAGAGCCTCCAGTGTGAAGAGGGTACAATGTTTTTCAACACTTTGCACCAAAGGCAGTCCCTCTTCCCTTGACCTTTCACCTTGAGACAGTCCGCCTGTGACAGCTGAGCAGATGAAATCGTTGAGACAAAGGCTGTTCATATCAAGTGTGTGAAATCATTACACAAATACCCCGTGTGGGTTCCGGGGCCCCATTGCAGGGAAAACAAGAATAGACCCACTGCCTACCCAAAAGCATGTTGTAAGAGTCGACTAATTGGGGAGCTTCCTTTGAAGTCGGAGTGCATCTGCCGGAGAGGCAAGGAACAAACAGTCTGTATTCAAGAGAATGAGATCTGTAAAACTGATGCACACGCAACACTCAGGTTCTGGAGCAGGACTGCAGTTCAGCAGTGGACGAGCAACCAGAACTTTCCGCCAGAGTGTACAGCTGGTGAACGCGAATAAGATTACACAAATGTAAAATTATATGCAAATGTTCAAAATACATAAATATTCACAAGATCCAAACAGCCATTAGATTCATGGGAGACATTACCTACTGAAACATAATAGTAATCAATCTCTAACTCGTAGGACTTTAGTGCAACATTCTATAATTGATACAATGATCAAACAGCTTAGTGAACATTTAACTGCCTATCAAGCTCCATCATAACTGTCCTCATATAACTGAGTACTGCTCAATCTTCTTCAGTGACCAACGTCTGCTGTGCATCTCTTCCAGCAAGAGTCACAAACAGCATGGTGTACAAGGTTGTAACTGCTGCCCACAGTGTGCCTGGCATGGTTGTCCTTGCTGGCCAGATGTCTGCTCTCACTCTGGAACAGTATGAGCAATCCTTTAGGAGTCTACTGTGGGGTCCCACAATCACTTGTGGCAGAGTCAGCAAGACCCATCTGATGTAGGTGTGCTCTCAGACTAGAAAAGTCTGAGTAATCCTTCAGGAGTCTACTGTGGGGTCCCACAATCACTTGTGGCAGAGTCAGCGAGACACATCTGATGTAGGTGTGCTCTCAGACTAGAAAAGTCTGAGTAATCCTTCAGGAGTCTACTGTGGGTTTTCACAATCACTTGTGGCAGAGTCAGCGAGACACATCTGATGTAGGTGTGCTCTCAGACTAGAAAAGTCTGAGTAATCCTTCAGGAGTCTACTGTGGGTTTTCACAATCACTTGTGGCAGAGTCAGCGAGACACATCTGATGTAGGTGTGCTCTCAGACTAGAAAAGTCTGAGTAATCCTTCAGGAGTCTACTGTGGGTTCCCACAATCACTTGTGGCAGAGTCAGCAAGACCCATCTGATGTAGGTGTGCTCTCAGACTGGAACAGTCTGAGTAATCCTTCAGGAGTCTACTCTGGGGTGCCACAATAACTTGTGGCAGAGTCAGCGAGACACATCTGAGTGATGTAGATGTGCTCTGTTTACAGTGTCCTGTTATGAGTCCTACAATTGTGTTTTGCAAATTTCTACCAAGTTTATTTATACTGTTGTGCTGTGGTCTAGAATTGTTGTTCTTTACTGTGCAACTTATATCTATACATTTACTGAATGCCTTTCCCACTATAGAGTTGACAGAGGTGAGGCTGCAGACTTTGCATGTTTATTTGTCTTGTCATTTCTAGGGATACAAAAGTGACCTGTTATCCCCTACAGGACTAGTTGTGCTCTCTAAGACAACATTTTGATGTTTTTTAAATTTCATAAATGTAGCCGTCCTGTTTGCAGCATACAATGGTCTCGAGAACTGATTCTGTGCCCGTGAGTTTTCCTATCAAGTTCAATATGGCTTCTATTTCAGCTGATCTGAAAGCATTGGAGTTCTGAGCTCCGCCAGTGGCATTGCTTTCTGAGCTTGAACTGGGAAAGAAAAGACTGGCTCTAGTTTCAAGGGAGATGGTTCTTCAGCAAACCAACCTCATTTTAACAGACGCAAGGTCTTTTCCAGATGAGTCCACAAAAGCAGAATGCCAAATTCACAGCCATCCAGCAGATCCACAACCAACCAACCAGCCAGTCAACTTAATTACTAACTCAACAGCTAGTCAACTAACCAGCCAGTCAACCAAACAACAAACCAACCACATCCGACAGAATGTTTTGTACTTTTTTTTCTAACCTGGAACTTCTAACCTGGAACTAATAACAGCTGTTTATAATGGACATGAACCCAGAATGGCAGCAGGCTAGTTCCAACAACATCAAATTTTGTCGGTCTTCTTCTCACATTTTTTGCAAACTCTCACAGGATAATCCCAGCCTCTCAGAGGAACAGCCCGTTTATTTGGCGAGCAGTCCTCGCAGACTCCCTGGCCACAAGCTCGACAGTGATGAATTGCCAGGCGAGGACCAAAAATTCTCCTGCATACCCAGCATTCTTTGGCTTCCTCATCTGGAACCCAGTATGCAGGTTTGGCCGAATTCTTGATCACGCCTGGAGAAACAGAAGAAAAGTATATAAGTAAATGTAGGTAAGTAAAGATTTCCTATATTGCCAGTCCCAATCCCCATGAGAAAGGAGGAGAGTTGGGTGTGGGCCAGCTCTCTCACACTGTAAACAATTATTTCCTGTGGAAACTTGCAGGAAAAGATTCTGTTCCAGTAAACAAAGGCGTCAAGTGGTGTGTGGTGTACACAGTGCATATATATATGACAGTTACGAAAGAAAGTCGGTGTTCCTGTAAACAAAGGCGTCAAGTGGTGTGTGGTGTACACAGTGCATATATGACAGTTACGAAATAAAGTCGGTGTTCCAGTAAACAAAGGCTTCAAGTGGTGTGTGGTGTACACAGTGCATATATGACAGTTATGAAAGAAAGTCGGTGTTCCAGTAAACAAAGGCGTCAAGTGGTGTGTGGTGTACACAGTCCATATATGACAGTTACGAAAGAAAGTCGGTCTGCGGAAGTCAGTGGCCAGAACTGCACACAACTTGACTCAAAAATAATCAACAGAATAGGTTTTTTTTAATGTTAGGACTATGGTTTCCTGAAGTGAAACAGGGATGCATTTTATCTCCTCTGTCATTTGGCATCACCACTGACTGGGTAATGAAAAACTGTTATGTTGGAAACACCAGCATTGACTGCGTGGACAACACACAGGTGGAAGATCTTGATTTTGCTGATGATAGTGTTCTGCTAAGTCAAACCAGCAATGACAAGCAAATGAAAACAGACGATTTAGCAAATCTAGCATCAAGGGTTGGACTATAAAAAAGTTATGAAAAGACAAATATATTAAAGACACCAACAATAGATCAAGCAGATGTATATAACACCAGAGAAAATGTTTTTAATGTAACAGATTAATTTACTTATTGAGTTGGTAATTTTGATAGTAAAGGAAATACACAGAGAGAAATTATGGCACGCACTGGCAAGGCATCAGCAGCTTTGCTTGAACACAATATGGAACTGGAAACTGTATAGTTTTATAATCCAAGTTTTCAATTCTAACCTTATTTCAATGTGAACATATGCAAGTGACAGTTGGAGAACCACTAGAGAACATGGAATGACAGTTAAATGCATTTAAACACAAATTATACACCAGGAAGGCTAACCTGGTCAACAAATGCCCGCAGAAGTCGGATGTGTTGGCAGAAAGGTGCAAATATCGCAGCCACGCTGTAAACGGACACAACGCAATTACATCTTCTGATAAACGCAGAAGAAGAAGAAGAACAACAAATAATACACTCATTGCCCCAGCAAGCACACTGTAAATAGCCACTATTAGAGTCTGCTGAAATCAGATGCTTATGGTCAAAAGTCACAGATACTGCAGCCTAACTGTAAACCACAATTTCCAAACACCATTTTAAGAGTAAATGGGGAACAAGAAAAATAATTTTGGTTGTTACACGAAGATGGGCACAGGATATAAGTGACTCCTTGAGTATGAAAGTACATAAGGCAGGAGAACTGGCGAGAGATCAAGTTTCTTTCAGGTAGACTGTGATGAGAGCGATGTTCTGCAAAGGACCTGCTACATGGTAATGAGTTACATTCCACATTAACATTGTTTAAATAAAATTTACCATCAGAAATTGTAATCAATAACTAATAACATAGGCATTACACCAAATAGATAAGACATGAGAGGAATAGGATTGTCAAGGAGAATCCATATTGAGAATACATTATTGAAAATTGGAAATGTAAGATCATAGAAACTATAACAGCACAAAGTGTCTATCGTGTACGGTTGAGGTCGTAAGACCAAGACGCAGAATCTTACATACACCCCATCTGAAACGGTGAAAGAGGAAATGTAGAAGAAAAAGCCACACACACAAAAACTGAACATCCTCTTATCTTTTCAGCTGACAAGCGAAGGTTTTTCTTTGTAGTGTAGAGGGACAGTTTTTTCTTTGTAGTGTAGAGGGACCATTTTTTCTTTGTAGTGTAGAGGGACCATTTTGTTCTTTGTAGTGTAAAGGGACAATTTTTTCTTTGTAGTGCAGAGGGACCATTTTGTTCTTTGTAGTTTAGAGGGACAATTTTTTCTTTGTAGTGCAGAGGGACCATTTTGTTCTTTGTAGTGTAGAGGGACAATTTTTGTCTTTGTAGTGCAGAGGGACCATTTTGTTCTTTGTAGTGTAGAGGGACAATTTTGTTCTTTGTAGTGTAGAGGGACAATTGATTCTTTGTAGTGTAGAGGGACCATTTTTGTCTTTGTAGTGTAGAGGGACAATGTTTGTCTTTGTAGTGTAGAGGGACAATTTTGTTCTTTGTAGTGTAGAGGGACAATTGATTCTTTGTAGTGTAGAGGGACCATTTTTGTCTTTGTAGTGTAGAGGGACAATGTTTGTCTTTGTAGTGTAGAGGGACAAAGGGGGCAAATTACTGCTTGATTTGTATAGAAAAGGTATAAAGTTCAGCGTTCATTTGCTTTTTCCAGGCATTAACTGTTAGTTACACTGGATATTTGTCTCAGAAACTAAATCTATGCAGACCCAAGTCATTTCTAATTGATCTGTTCACTTTCTGAGATTATAACAGTTCGTCTGCTTAAGGATTTTTTTTTTTTTAAACAAGAAGAGACTGTTAGAAAGTTGTTGCCTTGTCAACCAGTGATTATTGTAGTCATGACACTCCCATTCCATGACCAAAGAACAATGTTCTTGCAAGTATGTGAAGGACCATATTTCACTCTATGAGATAATGGACACATGGTCACAGACCCATATTTATATAGAAAAATGTATGTATTTTATGGATGATGTCATCAATAAGGACCCTCTTTACTTCCCAAAATACTTCCTGGTACCCATTATAGGCTGGGTAGACATAAAAGCTTATGTCAAAAAACTAACAAATACCATCCTCAAACACTGTTACTTGACAGTTAGATGTGCCACTGAATTACTGTAGATCACAAAGGTTATTGTTAAATTAGTTGTGTATCCTTTACAGGACGTTGCAGAACCAACCCAAGCATATTTTTGCTGTTTTGTGATTTCACTGAGCAATTTCCTATTAGTTTGCTGCTGCTCTCTAAATAGTCGGCTCTCGATATCACTGTCGCAACTAACGCAAGGTGGTCTGCTGTCAACTCGCAGGCAAATGGGATGAAACCTGGCACCCATAAATTTTGAAACGCGCTTGCAACTCCTAAGCTACTGACACTGATTAAATTGTAGTTGTTCAATAAAAGACTGGTATCCAACACCAGGAGTAAGACAAGGAGTGTTGTATCACCTTTGATTTTTATCGTATTTATGGACAATATCAACAAAATGTCACCAGCTTGGGATGAACAGGAACATTTCAACAAACTCCTATTTGCTGACAACCAATGCCTATTCCACAATCTGCATGTGTTTAGCAAGAGAACATCAAATAATCAACATACAGATAAAAGACCAAAGTTTTAAAAAAAGTTCAACATTTTCAATGCTTTGTTAGCATCTTCACAGATGATGGCAGATGGAAGAATAGACAAGAGAGATTCAAGTAAACATTCAACAACCCAACAATGTCACATTGAAATGTCCACTGACCCTAATTCTAAAACATTGGGCTATCCCAGTAGAGATAACAAGACAAAATATCAATACAATCTGCATACCAACCTTGTGCTATCGGTGACAGACTTGTACATTTACTAAAGAACATGGAAGAAAACTAACCACCTGTGAAATGAGATGTTTAAAAAAAAAGCCGTAAACATTCTAGGAGAGATCATGTGGGGAAACAAAGAAATTTGAAGTACTACTAAAACAAAACCTATAATAACATTCACTTGAAAAAAAAAAGACTGAAAAGGTTTGGCCATTTAATGAGAATGAATCCATGATGTCAGCAACAAGAGCATGTAACACAAAAGTAGAAACACCAAGAGGTAGGGAGGATCAAGAAGAAGGTGAATTGGATTGAAGAAGTTATTGATACCTTAAGACTTCACAATGTACTGGGCAACCAACTGTGCCCCAACTTGGAAACCGATTATCTGTTAATCAGTTCTGCCTAATGAAACAAAGTAGAAAATGAAGAAAAGCAACAACAACAACAAAAGTACAAGTTTAATAACAACACAATGTAAATACCCAGAGGATAATCCAGAGCTGACGCCATGGCACTAAATGTAGTAGTCACCACTTCGCCTACTCTTCTGGCTGTTAGGTCCCCTTGTTCAGCTGCAGTCTCCTTGCTCACTTCTAAATATATAGACAGAAATACACATGCATATGTCAATACTGTAAAAAAGAAGCAAGGTTATAGAGCTCTGTATAGCTCTTCTGAACCCTCTTACTTCAACAAACAACCAATCAATCAGATATCTTTTCAACAATGGCTGCACTGAAAAATATTCTATTTACTGCCATGGTTGTACACTGACCGCTGTTTATCCATATTTTGATATTATCTTCCCATGTATAATACTGTCTGCCTCTTGCTCATCTACCTTCAAACTTGTCCCTCCAGCCTGGTTTTTACAAGAGCGCCATACCTTATGAATCATGAATGTAACAAGAAGAGACAGTGTCAGAAATGATGATATCAAGAAACAAGCTGGACGGACCCAGTGTTAAACTACTTCAACAGACAACAGGGTAAATGGTTTGGACCTGTGTCAAGACTGCCAGAAAGGACAGTACACTACAGACAGCCCTACAGCTTAGATACAATGGAAGCAGATCTAGAGATTTCTGATGGATAGAGGGAATAATGGAGGCCTTCAAAACAAGCATCTACATAGCTCCCAACAAGGCTGCCACCTGATGCCACTTCAAAACCTGACACTGAAAGACAGAACTGGGTTTAGAAAAAAAAAAGAAAACAGAAGCTACATTTCTTAACAAGGTCAAAACATTTCACCTGAAAAATTATCTGGTGTATAGACACTACTCTCCAAAATAGGCCCCAGTGTAAGTTAACTATCCCACTGCAGAGTTCCTAGATATGCCAGAGCTGATAAACTAGTTTAAGGAAGGTGAATCTGAAGAACAACCTGACATACCAGTTTTTTATCAACAGAAGAAGAGAATAATCAAATCCATCAGAAAGCCACCAAAACCAGCACAAGACGATTACCATTTTATGGACAGACCAGAGCAAGTCCTTATTGTAAACCTTAGAGCAGGACACAATCCACTTCTCAGCCACATATATACCAAATTTAAGACTGGCAAATCAGCCATGTGCACATGTGGATTGGCACCTGAGACAACAGATCATGTCCTTCAAGACTGTCCCAAATACACCATATTTCTGGCTAAGAAAAACATAGGTGAGAGCTAAACTTCATGGGTCGCTGAGTGAATTACAAATGACAGTGAAGTTCATATCAGAGACAATACTGCAGTTATAGATAATCTATTTCAAGCAAATTTGTGTGTGTTAAATTTCTTTTAAAAACAGTTTTACATTCTTAGTCACGCCAAAAACTCTGTATCGGACTGTTTTTGCTTCTGTTAAATATGATGTATATCCACATCTTAGTTAAACTATCATAGTGTTTAGTGAATAATTGATGTCTCATGCCGCTGAATAAAATAAACCTGGTCATTCAACTGAAAAGTGATCAACTGTACATGTGAATTAATCTATTCTTTTCACAATTAAGATTTCATCTATAATTAGTAATAAATATATTTAACAAAAATAAAAATAATAAGACAGGTAATTTCTTTAACATTCTAAAAATGCACAAGAATGTGATATACCGCTCCACCACGTGGCTTAATTTCTACAACCAATAAACATAAAAGTCACCTGTCTCAGAAACGGACTGTATTGCTGTACCTGTGTCTGATTTCTCATAACATGCATCACAAACACGAACTGGCTCGATGCCCCAGCCTCTTTCTGGAACCGGTCGCTTCCTGGATGAGCAGACAGAACAGAAGCCCTTGCCACAAGCTCGACAGTGGTGTTTCTGCTCTGTGCAGTCAAAAGTCTGCCGGCATTTGGCGCATTCCTAAAATACATAGCAAAGGTCTGTTATTATGAACTATAATCTGCATCTGAGCAATTATTTCTTGATTTGTACTGAAGAAAGGCAAATTATTGCCTTGTTAGCACTTGAGAAGGAAGGTTGTCAATTAAGGTCTTGTTAGCAGGGTGTATGTGTGTGTGTGTGTGTGTGTGTGGGGGGGGGGGGGGGGGTTATGGCCTTGCTTGCAGTTTGGAGGGGTCAATTAATACATTGTTTGCAGTCTAAAGGGATCAATTATCACTTTATCTACAGTGCAGAGGGGAAATTTAATGCCCCCCCCCCTCCCCCAGGTGAATAGGGGACACAAATCCCTTGTTTGCAGTGTAGAGGGGTCATTTATTGCATGAAATGCAAAGTAGTTGGACAAATAATTGCGTGGCTTGTCATGCCCAGGAACTGTGTAACTTGGCTTGATGGGATAGAGTGAGACAAATGCTTTGTGTTTGTGTAACAGCCTCTAATGTGGTATCAAATTACCAGCTCCACAATGACTTTATTTAAGAACTCTCCCTCTCCTCTCTAAGCTCATAAATCCACTGGATGTGAAAGACTAGAACTGGATCTTTGTATCCATGAAGAGGCAGAATGTAACTGATTCAGCATTGCTTATACAAACTAGAAAACTGGATGGAGTCATGTTTAGGCTGATCATATTCTTTTCACAGGATTCAGGATTTTGCACTTTCAGTTAGGCTTAGTCTGGTAATGTTTTCTTTACAGGATTCAGGTAATTCACTTTTCAGAGTAAAGCTTAGTCTGGTCATGTTTTCTTCACAGGATTCAGGTATTTCACTTTTCAGAGTTAGGCTTAGTCTGGTCATGTTTTCTTCACAGGATTCATGTATTTCACTTTTCAGAGTTAGGCTTAGTCTGGTCATGTTTTCTTCACAGGATTCAGGTATTTCACTTTTCAGAGTTAGGCTTAGTCTGGTCATGTTTTCTTCACAGAATTCAGGTATTTCACTGTTCAGGAGTTAGGCTTAGGCAGTCATGTTTTCTTCACAGGTCACTGTTCAGAGTTAGGCTTAGGCAGTCATGTTTTCTTCAAAGAATTCAGGTATTTCATTGTTCAGAGTTAGGCTTAGGCAGTCATGTTTTCTTCAAAGAATTCAGGTATTTCATTGTTCAGAGTTAGGCTTAGGCAGTCATGTTTTCTTCACAGAATTCAGGTATTTCATTGTTCAGTTAGGCTTAGGCAGTCATGTTTTCTTCACAGAATTCAGGTATTTCATTGTTCAGAGTTAGGCTTAAGTAGTCATGTTTTCTTCACAGAATTCAGGTATTTCATTGTTCAGAGTTAGGCTTAGGCAGTCATGTTTTCTTCACAGGTCATTGTTCAGAGTTAGGCTTAGGCAGTCATGTTTTCTTCAAAGAATTCAGGTATTTCATTGTTCAGAGTTAGGCTTAGGCAGTCATGTTTTCTTCACAGAATTCAGGTATTTCATTGTTCAGTTAGGCTTAGGCAGTCATGTTTTCTTCACAGGTCATTGTTCAGAGTTAGGCTTAGGCAGTCATGTTTTCTTCACAGAATTCAGGTATTTCATTGTTCAGAGTTAGGCTTAGGCAGTCATGTTTTCTTCACAGAATTCAGGTATTTTACTGTTCAAAGTTGGGCTTAGATTGGTCATGTTTTCTTCACGGAATTCAGGTATTTCATTGTTCAGAGTAAGGCTTAGGCAGTCAAGTTTTCTTCACAGGATTCAGGTATTTCATTGTTCATAGTAAGGCATTTCATTGTTCAAAAGTGTTACTGTAATCTCAGAATCTGGTATCAAATTAGATGGACTTATTTTAACTCAGAGATAGTTTCAAAGTATAAACCAAATTTAGCCCAATAATCACATTGAAACAAATGCATCGGTGTATGATTTTCAAAGATACAGCACTTAAAATATTTGGCCAGATTTCTTGTGCTTACCCAGATCAAACATGAAATTAAAAATAACACACCATGTGTTACACTGATACATGTAGACATCAGTCGAGCAGACACATTGTATTGCTTGGGATGGGCAGAGTTTAATCTTACCCGAAAGTCATGGTTTATACAGTAATACACATAACAGGTTTAAACGTCTTACCGTAAATACACATAACAGGTTTAAACGTCTTACCGTAAATACACATAACAGGTTTAAACGTCTTACCGTAAATACACATAACAGGTTTAAACGTCTTACCGTAAATACACATAAGAGTTTTAAACGTCTTACCGTAAATACACATAACAGGTTTAAACGTCTTACCGTAAATACACATAACAGGTTTAAACGTCTTACCGTAAATACACATAAGAGGTTTAAACGTCTTACCGTAAATACACATAAGAGGTTTAAACGTCTTACCGTAAATACACATAAGAGGTTTAAACGTCTTACCGTAAATACACATAACAGGTTTAAACGTCTTACCGTAAATACACATAACAGGTTTAAACGTCTTACCGTAAATACACATAACAGGTTTAAACGTCTTACCGTAAATTCACATAACAGGTTTAAACGTCTTACCGTAAATACACAAAACAGGTTTAAACGTCTTACTGTAAATACACATAACAGGTTTAAACGTCTTACCGTAATCTCGGAATTTGGCATCCAGTAAGATGGATTGATTTTATCTGCTGTCCATTCTGATAAATACTTGGTGGGTCGAGCCCCGACGCTGCTGACCGTGTCTGCTAGAAAATGGAAACTGTCGATAATCTTCCTAGCTGCATTGTGTGTCCCGTCTAAAGCAGATGGACCCTGGTGTGAACAAAATCAACAGGTACATAAATAAATATCTTTAAAAATACAAATATAATTTGGGTTGATTTTTCATCATCATGTGCACAGCTGACAAAAGTAAGCGTCAAATTTCACATCTCACAAAATCACCAGAATCATGGATCAGGCCAGTGCTCGTCTCACTCCCATCTTATAAGGCCAAGCCATCCAGGTATTTTATCTTTTTGCTCTCTTCTTGCTTGTTTAACATTTAATTAAGAATCAACACCACAGCACTTGGGACCTTCCCATAGGCGCTCCGTTCCTATCTTCAGCAGCAAGCGCAGAGTTCCAATTTCAATGGTACCAATAGCAGTCTGACTGTAAATCTTTCTCACCTTTCCCTTGAATACTGATTGTCGACCAGAGAATAGTCTGACTGTATATCTGTCTCATCTTTCCCTTGAGTACTGATTGTCGACCAGAGCCTAGTCTGACTGTAAATCTGTCTCACCTTTTCCTTGAGTACTGATTGTCGACCAGAGCCTAGTCTGACTGTATATCTATCTCACCTTTCCCTTGAGCGCTAATCGTCAAGCAGATCCCCTGTTCACTCCTCCCAGCACCATTCTCTTCAGATCATGATGATCCATCTGTGCTTCTGCACTGTTCACTCAACCCAAAAGGCCCTTACAACATCTAGTTTGTCAAGCATCAATTCACCCAAAAGTTGTGCACAACGAGCACATTTCCTTTCTATCAATCTTGCCAGTTATCACCAAGTTCTTGAGTCCATCCTTCTCATAACTTGTCCAAATAACATCAACTGTCTACGTCTCATTTCTCTAAAAGGGTAATGGCTTTCATTTGTCTCTAGGAGGACTGCATCGTTTGTTTTTCTATCACTCTTTGATTTTCTTTGAATTCTTCTATTTAAAAAACACACCTCCACTGAGAGTCTATGTTTGTCAGCTTGTCTGCTCCCTGTCCATGTCATAACAACGCAGGGTCTGTGTGGCACTTTTAAAGTTTCTCACTGCAACTGACATCTTGGAATGCACTGATGACTCATCATCATGTAGCAAGAGACTCTGCAGAACATCCCTGCTATCATGGATTCACAGCTGTTGCCAGTCCCACTGTCTCATGTATTTTAATGCCCTGAGTCTCTTTAATATCATGTGTCCACCTTCGGTTGGCCAACATCTGGTTCCTTTTTTTTCCCCCACCAACAATTTCTCTGAATCCTGCTCTCTGTAGACAAACAGCAATCAGGTTAGGTGGGTGTACAAGCAGAGCCAGAGACAAAACAGTGTTGGAAGGACATCAGGAAATAGACATCATAGGAATCAGGTTAGGTGGGTGTACAAGCAGAGCCAGAGACTAGATAGTTTTGGAAATTCATTGCAGTCAGCCTTCAATGCGGAGATGAAACCTGACTGATTTATTCAGGCATAACCAGGGGCTGATTACTGGCACCAAGGTCTGGCAGTCGCGCTGACCAAGCTATAAACATCTGTTAAAGTTGCAAAGAATGATTTCATGGTACCTCACTGTCGTGTTAGTCTTTATATTATTATTAACTGTGTTTGAGTTTCTGTAATCCTGTCTAAGAAGAACTAAATAAGAAAGAAGGAAAAGAGGAAGGAAGGAAAAGAAGAAAGAAAAAGAAGTAGGGTGAGGAGAAGAAATACCTATGACACATTAGCAACCTCTGATAAGCTCAAACAAACAGAAAGTGTGTACAGAAGCTCACACTTACCTGTGGCCACACATGTCTGAACTCCACATGTAGGACCTTCTCCTCATCCTCATTGCCATACCAGTGCTGCCTGCTTCTATAGATGACACCACAGTTTGAACATTCGTAGACGTACCTGGCAAATATTCACCACAGTTCAACACTCACAAATCCGGACACTTAATGGCATTACATAGACATATAAACACAAGTACAAACTTCACCATGACTGTGTGGGTTGAGCAAAAGAAAGATTTACCCTTGTTGCTCATTGATTTTTCAGGCGAGTATTTATTCCTAGTCAACACACATGTCAAATATTCTGTTGGCCTGACAGCATTGTGATTTCTATCGGAAATACATCAGCCAACTAATTTTTGTGAATGTTTCTTGTTCGTACATGTGGTATTGTAGAATTATGTAATGTGCTGATAAAGACTCTCTAGTCGCAACATTCCCTTGTAGTTTTTGTTTGTGACATTGTGAAGCTGACAGTTTCTACTTTTCGTCTGGTTTGATTACCTTTCATAAAATATATACTAGCACACTCAATCCAAACCTTAAGAAGAACAAAAAAAAAACTAGTGAAGCCATTTTAGTCCCAAAGGATATTACAGCAAACTCGTAAAAGACCCCACAGACTAATCATAGTCAAAAAGGCAGTATATATTAATTTTAAGAGGCAACAACTATAAACTTCACACAAATGACATACTGTGTGGTTAAATATTTTGCCAGATTTCTTCAATATGTTCAGACCAAATTTAGAATATATAATAACATACAATTATACACAAAGAGCAGGTAAGAAACAAACCCAAAACCTTTAGAGCTCGAGGCAAACAGCTTGACCACTTCCCCACAGAGACACAAATAATGGGAGCCATAGTAGCATGGTGGCTTGCCTACTGGCCCACTGATCTTGGGTTTGAATCCAAACCAGACAGATGTCTTCTTAAAATAACACTTGCTCCCAAGTCAACCAAGCCTAAAATGGTTTCCGGCTCATGTCCTGGGAAGTAAAGGTGATTGGTGTGATGCTGACCACATCACCCATTGACTGCCAGCTGGTTTATATGCATATTAGACAAACAACTTATGCCTGATCTGCTACTTTAAAGAATGATTATGTGAAAGATTAAGCTTTCTAATTCTTACCCTGACCAGATGTACTTTGTGAATCCCATCCAAGAGTTGTCGGCTGAACATGAGGTTTTTGGCACCACTATTACCCGCTTTTTGTTTCGCAGACAATTCTGTAATACAAATTGTAATAGCAGGTTCTCATTTTGTACAGAAATTTCCATTTGAGCAGGGGAATTTAGGAATTTAGTGCTAGCCTTACACCTTTGATACCAATATCAAATCTGCCACCTTTACTTCCCATGTGTTACTGCACACAAATATGCCAATAAGACGAATGTGCAGGCAGAAAGCCAAAGTCGAAATGGTTGAACAACCAGGACTTTCTGCTGGAGTTTACAGCCAGTGAATGCAAAGATCTCCCAGGAAATTGCCTGGTATTTAGACCAGGTTAACTTGGAAGGTCAGGTAATTCAATTAGTTTAGACCACAGTGTTACCACAACTTCCCAATCATGTATGACCTCATTCTTAATATCTGTAACCCCGTGTGGTTTTGGGGTCCTGTTATAGGGAAAACAAGAATAGACCCACTGCCTATCCAAAAGCATGTCGTAAGAGTCAACTAATTGGGAGCTTCCTTCGAAGTCGGAGTACATTTGTCTAAGATGCAAGGAGCCAACAGTCTGCATAGAAATTAGTCAGATCTGTCAAATGGATGCATACGCAACACTCAGGTTCTGGAACCGGACTGCAGTCCAGAAGTGGACAACAACCAGAACTTTCTGAAAGAGTTTACAGCTGGTAAACGAGAAGAAGAAGAACAATATAAGTACCGTTCCCTTGCCTATTAGTGTGCACAGACACATATACCCACACATTACCATGATGCATACAAGTATCTCACACAGCAAACACACACAAATGTCCATTACTCTGAAACAAAACAACTGTGGCTTGCCTTGCATGTACACCTCTGTCCGTCTTCCATGCACGCACGCACAAGCACACACACACACAACTCATCTTGCACACACAAACCCATACACCTCACCTTCACACAAATATGTATATCACCATGCACACAAACATCTGTATTCATTGCACAAACACCTTTATCTCGCCTTGCGCGCGCACGCACAGATATTTAACTGTACACCCTGTGACACAAACACTTGTACCTCACCTTGCACACACCCAACTGTAAATAACCTTGACACAAACACCTGTACACTATCTTGCACACACAAACACACACATATACACACAAATCTCTACATAATCTCGCACACATCACCAAAAACAATACACCGATACTAACATGTGTACCTAACCCCTCTCTCTCTCATAAACACAGACACACCTGTAAGTGTCCTTGACACAAACACCTGCGACTCACCTTACATACAAACACCTGTGACTCACCTTACACATAAACACCTGCGACTCACCTTACACACAAACACCTGCGACTCACCTTACATACAAACACCTGTGACTCACCTTACACATAAACACCTGCGACTCACCTTACTCACAAACACCTGCGACTCACCTTACACATAAACGCCTGCGACTCACCTTACACACAAACACCTGCAACTCACCTTACACACAAACACCTGCGACTCACCTTACACACAAACAACTGCGACTCACCTTACACACAAACACCAGCGACTCACCTTACACACAAATACCTGCGACTCAACTTACATTCAAACACCTGCGACTTACCTTACACATAAACACCTGCGACTCACCTTACATACAAACACCTGCGACTCACCTTACACATAAACACCTTGTTCCCATAGCCACTCTGATATTCACAAAGTTTGTCTTGACCAGCGTCATGTGATTCCACCTCGGACTCATGATTCATGCTCAAGGTACACCGAGCTCTGAGAAATACAATGATCACCTAGCTGAGAAGGTGAATGGAATGTGTCTGTCAGTGAGGAGCATGGCAGGCAGAATAAGGAAAATGTGTCCGTCAGTGACGAGCATGGCAGGCAAATGTGTCCGTCAGTGACGAGCGTGGCATGCAGAATAAGGAAAATGTGTCTGTCAGTGACGAGCGTGGCATGCAGAATAAGGAAAACGTGTCTGTCAGTGACGAGCGTGGCAGGCAGAATAAGGAGAATGCTATGGAAGGTGCCAACTAATCGTATTATACCACTGGAATTTCTGCTGTTCAATGTTATACAGCACCAACATATTTTCTACATGAAGAATCAGACAGTGTACACTGAGGTCATATATTTTTTATCTTTCCGATGTCACAGATGGAATCTACAAGATAACTTATCACAATCACACTGAGTTATAATTTTTGGCCATGTTTTGAGAGAAGGAAAAATGGAACATGTTGTGACCACGGGAAAGATTTGTTGCAAGACGGAATTACAAAGATGACCTGAGAAGATTTGTGACAGCCTTTTGTTATGGTAAGAAAAGGTATCAGCACATGTTCTGACAAATGCTTCTGGAGATCACAGTTGTGGAGAAGGATGATAGCTCATGCTAGACAAGGCACTTGATGGTGATGATGAGATGGAATGACATGAGATTCAGGAGAACCTGGCCCTCAAATGTTGTGGAGAGTAATCTAAGTATTTAGCAGCTCATTTATAATTACTATTTTCTGCCATTTCTTGATCCTTGATGGGAGCTGCCATGGTACAGCGACTAGATGCTCACCTCAGGCTTGAAGGCTGTAGGTTTAAATCCACATCAAGTCTGTTTTTTTATTTTATTTCTTAAAAATGATTTTGGCTTCCATGTAGACACAGCTAAAAAGGGTACAAATATAAAGTAGGCCAGTGTGATGCTGACATCACCACCCACTGAGTGCTGATTGGTCTATCAAATAGAGGTCTAGCTCTGTATGCCCAATATTCTTAGTAGCGTGGAAAAGGGTCATTTACTTGGTCCTTGGTAACAGACAAGAGGCTGTTTGATTGAGCTTTCTCTGCTTTGTTAACTCAATGTAAGCTAGTCCATGTGTGTTGTGCTGACCCATGACAAGGCTATACTATGCTTCGTCACAGTACTGAACCATGACAAGGCTATACTATGCTTCGTCACAGTACTGAACCATGACAAGGCTATACTGTGCTTCATCACAGTGCTGAACCATGACAAGGCTATACTATGCTTCGTCACAGTACTGAACCATGACAAGGCTATACTATGCTTCGTCACAGTACTGAACCATGACAAGGCTATACTATGCTTCGTCACAGTACTGAACCATGACAAGGCTATACTATGCTTCGTCACAGTACTGAACCATGACAAGGCTAAACTATGCTTCGTCACAGTGCTGAACCATGACAAGGCTATACTAAGCTTAGTCACAGTGCTGAACCATGATAAGGCTATACTATGCTTCGTCACAGTGCTGACCCATGACAAGGCTATACTATGCTTTGTCACAGTGCTGACCCATGACAAGGCTATACTATGCTTCGTCACAGTGCTGAACCATGACAAGACTATACTATGCTTCGTCACATTGCTAAACCATAACAAGGCTATACTAAGCTTCATCACAGTGCTGAACCATGACAAGGCTATACTATGCTTCGTCACATTGCTGAACCATGACAAGGCTATACTATGCTTCGTCAGTCATGAAGTTCCAGTACCAGTGCTGCATGCCTTGTTAGTTTCTCAGCTTGGAGAGGGGAGAGAGAGTTCTGCAAGACAGTCCCCACAGAAGTAGTGGTTAAGTACTTCTTCTCCTCCTCTGATTATCTCACTGAAGTGCTGGAATGAGATGTAAGGACTTTCTGTGTGCTCTAACTAATGTGCTGAATATGTTGATTCACCAACCAACTAAAGACTGGAACCCCCCAACAACAGAACGGTGGCCAGAAGAGCTGTTTACCTGCAAGCAAGACATCTGCTGGTGCAAGTGAAGTACTGGTCTGGGAATGTGTTGAGCTGAGGTGTTTCAATCTTCTGACTGAACTTGTCATTCAAAGCCTGCAGTCAACATATCAAACAAGTTCGTTTATTCAACAATATCATTGGGGAGCTCTATGTTCCATTGCAGAAGTGGGTAGACTGAACTTTTTCCACCTTAAGAAATGCTTCCTGTAAGATGACTGCCTTAATTAGCTAGTTAGTTAGCTAATTAGTTAGTTTAGTTAGTCGAGATTCCAACTTCATTGCAGAGGGGTTACCCTCAACTGCTTTGTTCACAAAAAATGTCCTTTGCTGTCCCATTTAAAAACCAGGGAAAAACCTGTCAGTCACAGCAAAATCGTGCACAGGCAAAGAAAAATGCATAAGGCAGTTGTCTTATGTGCCAACACTAATGGTTCCATACCAGAATGGCAGTCCACTGCTAGTCCAAATGATTAATCCTTTTTGTGACAATGAACCCATAAAAGTAAACATCAATTAGAATACAATCGACCACCTGCCATTTTAGTGCAGTCATGGGCAAAACAGACAAAAACCCACATGAAATTCATAGCTCACAGTATCGTTCCAAATAGAGCTGTACCAAATAGTGTTTTTCACTATTCGGCCGAATATGAATAGCGGGACCAACTATTCTGCTGAATACGAACACGAATAGTGTATCATCATCATCAGGTGCCTTGCCGATTGGCGTGGGCGATTATACCTCGCCACAATCTGCAATCTCCTGCAGCATGTATTAGTTCGTGTGCTGACACACCTCCATGCCAGCAAAAAGACTGTCAAGCATCTTCTCTCATTGTCTTTCTCTATCCCTCCTTCCACAGATCTTTCCAGTGATCACCACATGTTCTATTTTTCCTCTTCTCATAACATGGCCAAAAAATGATGACTGTCTCCTTCTGATGTCTGTGATTACTTGTCTTCAGGCTCCCGCCTCTTTCAAAACCTCTTGGTTGCTTTTTTTTGTTTAGCCTGCCTACCGATTGTCCCGGACTCACAACGCAATGCCTTTAAATATAAGTGCTTACTTGACTAGTACTATTGTACAGACCACATTTGCCACTTTAAAATTTCAGCCAAAATGTAATCACAACCTTACTTATCCGTTGCACCTTCACGAATAAAGATGGAGGACCGGTCGCACCTCAAGATAAATACAAAGACAATTTTTACCACACTTCAATTGGCATTTTATACAGTATGAAACACTGAGTGTGAAACAAGGAAAAAGACTCTTTTTGACAGTGGCGAGGAAAGACAATTTAAATTTTAACTTTTAAGTATCTTCATGCCTTCTTTAATAATGTCACAATTTATAGCCGACTTTTCTTGATTTTCGCCGTGGTACCCCTGGCATACGCACCCAGTTTGAGAACCTCTGCTGTAATGCCTTGGTCGAGTCAGCAGGAAAAGACCTTGCCAGCTGCTGTACCACACAACGGGGTCGCAGTTTTCCCCGCTATGACAGACTTAGGCAACAGCAACTATTCTGTTATTGAGAGAGTTATTTCAGTCCATCGCAGTGTATGCAGAAACGGGTGTAAGGTATCACTATTCGTATTCAGCCCGATCGCAAGTATTTGTCCTAATACCGAATAGTTATTAGGTCCACTATTCGGCCCCGAAGCGAATATTCGGTACAGCCCTAGTTCCAAACACTCAACTCAGTAGCTGGAAGCTGTAGCTTTTGAACCCCCAGTCCAGAAGAGGGGTACCTGCATCGGCAAAAACTAACTGGAAAAAAACAAATAACTCCTCAGAGCATCAATGGTCAGCCAGCTCTCTGCCATTCTGGCCAGATCAACTGACTGCCAAGTTTTGTGTACAAATCAGCATGCCATGTGCTTACTTTTACGAGTTATAAAAGAAATCAGAAAATGTATTTTTTATTTGCTCACACACACACACACACACACACACACACACACACATATGATGATGGCTGTGAAATTTTGATAATAAAATGATTTGAGAAATTAGACACAGACAATCCATGTTTTTTTTTTTTTTGGGGGGGGGGGGGGGGACATGGTATGACAAGAACTTAAAACTAGCAAAATTGGTGGAAAAAGAGTAAGGGGAAGGAAAGAGATTAATACCTGGATGATGAAACCATCTGGATAGGGTGAGACAAGAATAATGACCTCGACCATCATTCTGGTATTCATGTGAGACATTACAGCCTAAGATTATTGGCATGGCACATGATAATGATGCTGCTGTGAATCCTGGACAGCTTATACGAGTAATCTAAATGATGCAAAGACAACCTCTGTTAAACATCAAAAATAGGACGTTATCATTTATTGAAAAGAAACAATGAAACTTGTGGCAGCAGTAGATTTATTGAAGGAGAGATAAAGGAAGACAATGAGAGAGGTTTTTCTGATGGCTTTCTCTAAAGGCATGTGAGGAAAAACAGGAAGGCAAACAGGGATTTAGGAGAAACCGAGCAAACAGGATAGAAGAGGAGCATCTGAAAAGAAACATCAAATTATTCTTCTTCTTCTCCCTAACTCCCAGAATGCCTTGCTGTGTCAGGGCTAAAAGATATCTCTGGAAAGGGCTTTCTGTAAACTTCTTGGGTGTCAGGGCTAAAAGATATCTCTGGAAAGGGCTTTCTGTAAACTTATCAAATTCATGATCCCGAATTCTTATGCTTTTACTGTGAACAACTTTTCTCAAAGCAGGCGTGTTTTGCTAGTCATACCTGCCATTGCGATGGGCTATGATTCTCAGGGCTTCTACAGCACAACATAACAATGTCACCTAAAAAGACGGAAAGGCGGCAACAAAAGTAAAGGTGTCGACACATGTGACAGAGTATGTTTTGTCGGAAAATACAAGTTACTGGAACTGTGAATAATGGGAACTTGGCAGCTTTTGCGTGACTATGAACCTGCCCAGTACCTGTTCACACACATCATTAGTTCGTCAAGTCTCCATACGATCCCAAACTGGTTCCTTAAAATTGTTGGCTGTCCCCCAAACTTTCAATACAATTGAAAGTGACCCTCCTGGGTTATGAAAAGATATGGAATGTCACAGCTGAGCTGTACTTCCTCCCAAAGAGGACTTCCTGAAATGCTTGACAGATGAGTTGTAATTCCTCCCACAGAGGACTTCTTGAAATGCTTGACAGATGAGCTGTACTTTCTCCCACAGAGGACTTCTTGGAAATGCTTGACAGATGAGCTGTACTTCCTCCCACAGAGGACTTATTGGAAATGCTTGACAGATGAGTTGTACTTCCTTCCCACAGAGGACTTCTTGAAATGCTTGACAGATGAGTTGTACTTCCTCCCACAGAGGACTTCTTGGAATTCTTGACAGATGAGTTGTACTTCCTCCCACAGAGGACTTCTTGAAATGCTTGACAGATGAGTTGTACTTCCTTTCCAAAAAAGGAATTCTTGAAGAACTTCCTCCCTGCATGGGAGCTGGGATCCCACTGTAGTGAAAACAAGAATAGACCCATTCCCCAACAAACATGTCATAAGAGCCAAGTAACTGGGGTCTTCCTTCTAAGTTGGAGTGCACCTGCCTGCCTGCGAGACAAGGAACCAACAATTTGCATACAAATTTGTCAGATCTATAAAACAGATCTACTTGCAGCAGTTAGGTTCTGGAAAAAGACTACAGTTGAGAAGTGGACAAACACAAAGAACATTCTACCAGAGTTTACAGCCCAGTAACATGAGCAAGACGACGAAGAAATGCTTCCAATGATGGCAGGTCTTCTGGAAGAATGTTACACCTCTGGGGGAAGTGGCCGGAGAAGGAGGAGGAGGAGGTAGAAGAAGAAGAAGAAGAGAAGAAGAAGAAGAAGACATTCAGTGACTGAAATGTTACATATGTAATAACTAGAAGATTTAATACTCAATGTTTTGAAGATATTACCTTTAACGACCGGAAGATGATTTCTGGCTTGCGAGCAGCCCGGACAGATGTATCCTGAATCTGAGCATCAGCACAGAGCTGCAGTCGAGAGAAATCTGTCGGTGGTTTGACAGTCTTGGTGCCAACATAACAAATCTTTGGGAATGCATCCACTGGATTCTCTTTTGACTTGAACATTTGTCGTAATATTCCATCCGCAGAAATGTCTAACAAATTGAAAAGAAAGTCAAAATGTCTTCCTTTTGTAAATTTATATTCTTAAATATATAATAAAGTAACAAAAAATCCTTGTGAATATAGCCCTTTCGATTACATAATTTTTAAATAAATCCTTATCATGGAAATCATTTCAATAAGCAAGAATTTCCTGCAGTGAGATGTACCATGTACAACGTAACTACAGAAACTGTGATCTGTGTTTTTTGATGGAAAGATTAATTTCTGTGCTCCATTATTTGTTGATGTAACTCCGTAACAATGCACCTGGTGAGATACTGTGGCAATATGCCTGGCAATAAATTGTGCAATGTATGTGCCAAAGTTCTTCTTCATCTTAGTGTTTGATAGTTGTAAACTCTGGTGGAAAGCTTTGGTTGTGCGTCCACTTCAGGAGTTTAGCCTTGAACTGCATGCACGCCCATGTTACACATCTGGTTTAACTGTAAACAGATTGTTAGTTCCTCAACTCAGGCAGATTCATTCCAACTTCGAAGGAAACAACCCTAAGCAGTTGCCTTTTATGACATGCTTGTTAAGGAAACAGTGGGTCAATTCTGATGTTTCCCTACAGCGGGGCAGACAGGCAGAAAACTGCATACACAGAGTTAAATGGGAGTAGACCATGAGGAAGACCAAGAAGACGATGGAGAGATAATATACAGGCAGACCTACAAACACTTGGAGTCACCAACCAGAAAGAGAAGGCCAGTCAGAGAGATGAATGGGGGTGAGTGATATCTGCAGCAATGAACTGCGAGGGTTTAAAGTGCTGAACAACAAGTAGTAGCATTAATCTAAGGTGATCTGCCTCATTAAAACTGATAGTAAAGGTTGCGCAGACTGGCAGCCATTGCGCTGCATGGCCACTGTCTGGTTCAGTAGAGAATATTCAATAAAATTTGAGCAGGATTTTCTCTGCGAACTTTGCAAGAGAGATGAAAACTAACAATGTTCTCAGTGCTAGCTGTCTCAGTGAATCAATAAGTGAGGGAACATTGCCCTTGACAGGACACAAGTTTCAAGAAAAAATTGATAATAGTGTGACTAGAATGGCCTGTACTGCCCACCAGGCAAAACAACACTATCTGAGTCGGAGTTATCGTGGTGTAGTGGTCACACGCTCACCTGCAGATCCGAAGGTCACAGGTTCAGGTCTTGATGAAGCCTGGCCTTCTTAAAAATGACCTTGGTTCCCAGGTTGACCCAGCCTTCATTCGGTACCAGGTAAAGTCCTTGGAAGTAAAGGCAGCTAGCTGTAAGTAAAGCCCTGAAGTTGACCACATCACCCACTGAGTGCCGATGTCTTTAAAATATAGGTCTAGCCCTATGTGCTTGATATGCTTAAAGGCATGTCAAGTCATTTACTTTTAAAGAATTTGAGTAAACAACATGACACAATATTTTAGGATTTACTAAGGAGGGGGTCCCAGCATCTGAGGACTGAGTACATTTTCAATGAGGATGATTTGTCAACTAACGCTTAAAGGAAGGTCAAAGGGTCATTTACTTTTAAAGAATTTGAGTAAACAACATGACACAATATTTTAGGATTTACTAAGGAGGGAGTCCCAGCATCTGAGGACTGAGTAGATTTTCAATGAGGATGATTTGTCAACTAACTGATCTAATTTACTGAAAACATTTGTGTTAACCATAACCAACACATCTTATCCTCAGAAACATCTTGTAAACATTTACATAACCCTTCTTATGCCCTAGTACATCTGTATAAACAACATCAGTATAAACAACATAACCAACCCATCTTATCCTCAGAAACATCTGACAGACATTTACCAACCTTTCATATCCCCTAGTACCTCTGTATAAACAATATAACCAACCCATCTTATCCTCAGAAACATCTGACAGACATTTACCAACCTTTCTTATGTCCTAGTACATCTGTATAAACAACATCTGTATAAACAACATAACCAACCCATCTTATCCTAAGAAACAGCTGACAGACATTTACCAACCTTTCTTATCCCCTAGTACCTCTGTATAAACAGTCTCATGAAACACTAGCAGTGTTGGTCCCAAGTCAGACTCTGAGATCCCGTATTTCTGAGAAGCAAACCGCAGCTCCTGCTTGAAGTGCTTGAGATACGCTTGAGAAGCGTTGCTGAGAAACACAAACATGTCTGTGTGCAGGCGCTCCGCTCGGGTGCGGTAGATCACTATATCAGAAATGGCCAGGACTTTGAGCAAAAGTCTAGTGCGTTGGTTTTCATTGGATGATGATCCTAGCAGACCTTCGGTGTCCATAAGCAATACCTTGTGTTGTCGGTTTAAGGCACACCAGACCCCCAGGGTGCAAGATGACTGGCTGGTGGAGGTCTTAAACACTTCGTAACCCCCAAAGAAAGTCTGGTTGAGTGTATGAGACTTCCCATCACCAGTATTACCAAATATGGCCACCACCTTAAAGGTGTCCTCTTTGCTGCAACCCAGTCTATTTATAAAGTCACTTTCATCTGTAACCTGGCCAGAAAATATATAAACAATAAACATTCAGTCGATCAGCACCTCTTTTACAGAACGTCGCTATCTTCTTGGCATGCCTGAAAGTCTCTCTTTCTTCAGCCTTACGAGCTTTCATAACTGAAGAATCTTCACTGTCCTGTATCCAACTGTGTGGAGGTCAGTCTTTGCCTCATTTTCAGGCTATTGTACCCTCCATCACCGTTCTCTCTAGACCATCACTGCACTTGACATCGCTAAAATATCTCAGTTTCTGGACAGGATGCACTAAACATTAGCCATTTATTTTCATCTCGTGGCTCTGGGGCTTGGGTGGTTTAGAAAAAGACGTGGCTTTCAGACAGTGGTATGATAGTCTCGTTGTTCGTTGACAGATCTGAGTCATTTGTGTGCAGACTGTTGGTTCCTTGCCTCTCAGGCAGATGCACTCCGACTTCAAAGGAAACTCCCAATTAGCCGACTCTAACAACATGCTTTTGGGTATGCATGTCCGAAACGTTACATAATTTGTGTTGTTTTGTGCACATTTTTCTGCTTCCCCATTTTGTTGAGCTTTTTAGTCAAATTTTCCTGGAATTGTTTGGGTATGCACTGAGTCTATTCTTGTTTTCTCTAAAACTGGACCCTGGAACCCACACGGGGAATTCTATGTTGTCAAGAACAATGTTTTTTATTCATGACAATTTTTCTTGCTTAAAATGTTATCTGGATAAGAGAAATTTCTGACAAGAACTATTTCTTGGGTTCTCTGTGAGTTCTCTTTCTCAGGTCAGCACTGTACTATACGAAAGGCTTTCAGTTCTTCAGTCATATGATTGAAAAACAGGCACTGGAGAATATTGTGATGACTGCAAAGATCAACAGTAGAAAAGGGGGAGGCAAACCAAAAGAAACAATGCTGGACGGCCTGCAGTGTTGGCATGGAGGAAAATTATCAGTTGAAGTTATTCAAAATACCAAGGACGGAGATCTCTGGAGAAATATAAGTACCTATGCCACCAGGCAGGGTGGATGATAATGATGATTATTCAGGGATTATACATTTATTTTCAGGTATTATCTTTATTCCAGAATTAAAAAGATTCCTGTTTATGTCAAGAATGTAGCTTAGGGGTTATGAATGCAGCTGTGATTCCAAGGTTCAGCTGCAGGTAATGTGGCAGTAGACCTCCTTGTATTGACTATGACAATAACGTGGAGAGCTGACTGACCAAGAAGGCAATTGCAAAACTACCAAACTAAAACAGCCTGGTAAAATCAAGCAGCCAACAGATGCTGGGATCTGTCTGTGATGTCCTGTTAAGGTTGAGCAACCAACTATTCTTCTCCGTTGTGACCTTAACTGACTAGTTTCAGGTATTCAACAATCTACCATCAAATACTTATGAACCTGTTAATTGTCCTTAAAGAAGAAAATAGGGGCATTCAAATTGAAATGCTATAGAAAGATTCTCAGAATACATGCCTGTTAGGAGGCAATGGGTCCATTCTTTGTATCAGTATCGCTGTGCTTGTGTTCTTCTCGGTGCACAATATTCTACTCACAGACAGAGACAGATAGACAGAGAGAGACAGATAGACAGATAGAGACAGATAGACAGAGAGAGAGACAGACAAACAGTAAGAATCAGACCTGTTTAACATACTCTTTTAAGATTTGAGTTTTACAATATGTTTTTACAGAATGCAAGGAATAAACTGACCCACACACAAACTAGTAAATTCACAACACTGGACAAATATATAACTACTAAAGAAAGTTGATTGGCTTCTTCACAGTATCAGATAAAGACTATTACTGAAAATACTGAAAAGCAAGATTAAAAAAAAAAAAAAAACCTTTAAAGAAAAACCACATTGCAATTACAATGTAAACTGTAGCAGAAGTAATTTTGTTACAAATGTTACAAATAATATCCTGTTCAATGCTCAGGGTTAGCACTAAGAAATAGTGTCTATTATATTCTCAGTATAAACTCTTGCTATTTTTTTTTTAAATCGTATACAACAATATTTAAAGAGAGCTACAAACAAAACCCATCACAACAACAACAAACATCATCACACGTTAACATCTGACTTTCTACATGTTAAAATCTGACTTTCTACATGCTAACATCTGACTTTCTACATGCTAACATCTGACTTTCTACATGCTAACATCTGACTTTCTACATGTTAACATCTGACTTTCTACATGCTAACATCTGACTTTCTACATGCTAACATCTGACTTTCTACATGCTAACATCTGACTTTCTACACGCTAACATCTGACTTTTTACATGCCTGCAAAATTTCTTGGTCATCCACGAGAAGGAAGCTTTTAGGCCACTCTTGGCCTATTCTTCCTTTGGAAGTACTTTTCTCTCGAACAACAGGCAACTTTGAACCCTGGCATAAATCTGGAATGCTGGAGTTGCTGTGATCTGAATGAAAATCTGCATTATCCACCATAAATTCCATCTGAGCACTGCTGGTGACAACCTCTTGTGGATATGAGCAAAATATTACTGATTCATCTACATCTCCCAAGGAAAACGGTGTTCGTGGTTTTATCATATCTTTAAAAAATGTATGTGTTTATTTATCAGAGGAAGCACAAATCACTTTCTGCTTCCTGCTTTTTACAAAATCCAAATGACTGCTAGTTGATATTTGCAATCGCAGTAACGTTCATGTCCAAGATTTTTATTTCTCTCTTGAAAATAAATATTCTTTCCGCTGTACAAGATATCCTTTTAATTTCTGGTTAAAGGAAGTTGCCCAACTAGACCTTTGTGTGGAATCAATAATATGGTAGGCGCTCATGAAAATTACCAAGCAGAAATAAATATTGGGGAAGCCAGAATATATCAGTCATTTTTTTTTTGCTAATGTGATCAAAGTGCACCAAAGATGCAGGTTTCTACGCTAGCAGAAATGTCCAGATATCTGCTCTCATAGGGCATGAATAACTGATTGACAGTTACTTCAGTTATGCTTGAAAAGAATGTGCATTTCACTGAAATGTGCGTTTTTGAAAATAAAACAATATTTGATATTCAACACACTAGGTTTATATTTAATATTATTATTGTTAATATATTAAAAACAGCCATAAAGGCAAATTCCCTACGCCCTGGGTTCTTCTGTATGGTGATGACTGTAATGTCAAATGACGGTGAGGGCTCTAATCCGCTCCGCTATGTTAATCAGTGAGTAGCTTCAGTAGCTGCATTTGCGCCATTTGCGTATGTATCTATTAATATTATCCAGTCACTTTCATTTATTTTCAACTCATCAGAGATCAGCAAATTTCATGTTCTCTTATATAATATAAATTCTATGAAAAATATAATCATAATATATTTCCATGCATCTTAATTCTCCGCAATATTCCTTGGTGTCTTCCTTCCGTCTGCTGTCTCACTCATGCCTGGATAAGAACTCTTCCCTGTCTGATAAGATTCTGTCACACGACCCAGGGCTACCCAGAAGAAACGGTTTGTTGTCGCCTTCCCTTGTTATTGTGAGATTCCCTAGAACCACGTTAGTGTCCTGACATTTTCATTTGCTGTCTCATTACTGGAAAAGAACTATCGCTGTCTGATGAGATGGCCAGCCAGCCGTCTTGAGACCGACTATGATACAAGGAGAAACGGTTTGTTGTGTTTTCGCCTTCTCTTGTTATTGTAGATTTCCCTGAATCAGTACCCTTACATCACTTCCGTTGGCAGACTGTTAAAATACTTTCCCCACTTTGGATTTTAAGAGAACAATAAACTGCTTAACGACACACTGGTATCAGACAGACAGGAGGAACACCGAGGAAAATAACAGCGTGATAAAATGATAACGTAAAACAAACAGTGAAAATTAAAAAGGATAAATACAAAAAATGGCTAAGATCCCGCTCAGATGACGACTATATGGCGTATAGAGTAGGAAGGCGACAGTCTGTTACAGAAATCAAACAAACCAAGGAAACATCCTGGATCATGTATGGGAAAAATCTGACCAAACTTTGTGCTAATTCTGGTAGACATTTTTACAAAACTATTGCAAAAAATGAAACCCATAGATGCCATTTCCAACCATCAAAGTATGTCAATGACAGTCTGTGAAGACCCATGCATGAAGAGAGTAAGATCAGAGAAAGATGGAAATAATATTTCAAAACTCTTCTGAACGTAACAGAACATGAAGGAACTGTACCATTCGCACCCAGATATAGATACGAGGAACAGCCTGGAATCATTGACTAAGAAGTCAGAGAAGCAATCAGGTGCAGTCCAAAAAATAAGGCCGCTGGTGTTGATGGAATTACAGCGGAGGTAATACAGGCCTGTGGAGAAACTTCAGTCACCTGGCTACTTCATATATTTAGGAAAGCCTGAAATGAAAGAACTGTACCAACAGACTTGCAAAGAGCCATTATAATATTAGTATGGAAAAGAAAAGGCAATAAGCAAGATTTTAACACTTATAGGGGCATCTCCCTTTTAAGCCACGTGAGGAAAATTGTTTGCCAAAAATTCTGGAATAACGAATTATATATGTTGGAGAACTGATTCTGAGCCCAACACAGGTCGAATTCAGGAAAGGAAGGGGGTGTACCGACGCTATTTTCGTCCTAGGGCAAACCAGCGAAAAGACAATAGAACACAGACACCAAATGAACATCTCTTTTATAGACTAAGAAAAGGCTTTTGACAGAGTGAACCGAGATTTACTATGGGATGTCCTTGAAAACTATGGCATAAATGGAACAGTGCTAGATTGTGTAAGAGCTATTTATACAGAAAGTGAAAGCGCCAGTAAAATCAGGAGTAAGGCAAGGGTATGTCCTTTCACATTTATTTTTTTTTATAATATTCATGGAAAATATTAATAAAATAGACACACCACCACCGGATGTTGATAAACAGGAGGACTTAAATGAGCTGCTCTTTGCCGATGATCAGTCCATATTCCGCAGTGAAAGTAAACAGCTGCGGGACCACATAAACCAACTACAT